AGAGGGAAGGGGGGCGCTGACGGGGAGCCTAGAACGCAGTTTTCGTTTGAGGGGAGGGAGTGGGGGAAAGGAGCCGCCAGGGCGAAACGGTTCGGGAAGGAAGCTCGGCAGCAGGCTGTGGGAGGGCGAAAGGGGGGGAGCGGCAAGGGGAAAGGGGAGGAGCGAGGCGAGGAGGGAAACAATTTGAGAAGATGGAAGGTGCGTGGTCGAAGAGGGAAGAGGAGCGATCTTATATAGGCTCCCGGACCAGAACGATGATGTACAGTTGCTGCGCAATAAGTTTGAAACCATTGAGACCTCGTGTCAAAATCCACTAGTCCCAAAGGGGTTTAATGTTTGCACTGTTTATTGAGGAATATGTGGGTAGGTGTATCCTTGCTCTCGAAGCTTGAGGGGTCAATTCCTTGCCCCGACCCATAGCAGATGATAGAGATGAAGGAACATAACTAGAGGAATGACAGCAGTATGAGGAAATAGTATGAGAAGGATATAAATGCGTCAGAATAAAGATGAAGCAGTTCCACCCACAGACGCGTTTTATTCTATTCGTTGATTCGTTAAAATATAATGTCAGGCATATCCACTCTGCTCCCAAAGCATCTTGATCGCGGCCACCAGCCGTTGATCCCCACAAGGTCGACCTGGAGAGCCGCGAGAATATGCAATGCGACAACAACCCGACACCAACCACTGGATAGCAAGCAGTCTGGATGGAAGCAGAAACAGGAGTTCTGGCGGAGCTGCTGCTTCTTCTGCCGCCGCTGTGACTGGCTACCCAGCACTGCAGTTATTATTAATACCAACTAAACAAGCAACTCTGGTCGGTTCCCAACGCTCCCGCATCAACTCGACCTGCAGACGCAGAGCACTGAACAGTCGCTGCAGCTCTGGCATCTGCTCTAGTTTCGCCAGGTCGAGACAGCTTATTCGATGAGAGGACTCTCTCAGACTCCATTCTCGTGACTGCGTTTCATTTTCCCGGTCCGAGTCCGCTCATCTTCATATCACGAGAGGTCATACGTACGTTTCAAGTCTCACGTTTCCTTCATCCTCTACCTTTTGTCTGCGTCGACGCATTAAAGCTGTATACGCACTTCAATTCTTCCAAGTTCTTCTCTTTACCTTTCTCCTTGTCTTTCTCTCGCGATTTCTGGATTACAATGGACTCCACCTACGTGAAGCCAGAGCCCCAGGAAACGCACGGGATCTCTCCTGCGATCCCCTCGTTCGCTGAGAAGTTCGCGGCGCGTTTCAATGAACTCAAACAGGAGCAGTCCATCAGTATGCCCTCTGCGATTGATACGGTGGCTTCCAGAGCCTCCGGAACTACGGATGTGGTTGACGGTACCTTGTGGACAGGGCAAACCCCGTCCGTTTCAAGCTCTGCCCTCGAGGACACTCCTGGGCACGTGGATCCACCACTCACCCCACAACCACCTGCAGATAACTCTGTTTCAAAAAGAAAAAGACCTACTGTAGACCCTTGCAAATGCACCTGCGCCGTCTCGCGGGATTGCCCGAGGGCTGCGAGGGATGGCGTGTTGGACTGTCGCATTGCCCCAGGGCTTCCCATCTCCAAACGTAAAAACAAACGTACAGGCCCAAAGCCTGCCCGCGAATCGCAGACGTGAGTATACAGCTCCCCATGACCCCTCCCCCTTTGTCCTGCCATTTCAACGGTTTTTTTTTTACAAATGTATCACGTTCAGATAACCAAAAAGCGCAACTAACGCCTCCAATCCCAGCTTCCGCTACATCTCAATGAAAGAAAGAGGCCGTCTCCAAAGATCAGCCGATGACGTTCTCTCGCTCCTGACGCTCTTCAAAAGCGCATCCATCGCCCCGGAAATCGAGCGCCCTGGCATCTTTAAACGAATGCGAGGACGCGTCCAACAACTCCAATTCTATGACATCGACACAGCTTTACCTTCTGTCCTTGAAAAATTCATGGACCCCACCACGGGCCTTCCAGCAATTGTCCACAGTCCTAACAGCGCCGTCCCCTGGGACATCAAGTTGGATTGCGAAGCGATCCTCCTCCGCTGGAAAAGTGGAGACTTCGACCCCAGTTTACTCCGCGGCATCATCTCCGGGGAACGTGTCCAGACCGCCCGCCGACTAGACTCCAGCTACAAATTCAAACGGGACAGCATTGTCGTGGGCGACAACGGGCTGCTCAACGGCCAATGGTTCCCGTTGCAGATCACCACGATCCGCGACGGCGCGCACGGTGAGATAGAAGCAGGCATCTCCGGCCGCGACAAGATCGGCGCCGTGTCTATCATCCTCAGTTCGGTGG